TATAGAGAAAAAAAATAGAGATCTTCACATGGCGTTCATTGACCTTGAGAAGGCGTATGATAGCGTTCCCCGCGATACGATCTGGAAGACCTTGGAAACGAGACGGATACCAACTGCTTATATCCGGGCAATTCGTGATATGTACTGTAGATCTACTACATACGTCAGGACTATAGTTGGCGACACCGAGGCATTCCCGGTAGAAATCGGACTCCACCAAGGGTCGGCTCTTAGCCCTTACATCTTCACCTTGATTATGGACGACATCTATTGTGCGACACCAGACGGTGTTCCATGGTGTATGCTTTTCGCTGACGACATTGTCCTAGTTGCTGAAACAAAAACTGAGCTGAATAGTAGACTGGCTACCTGGAAGACTGCTTTGGAAGAAAAAGGTCTAAGGATCAATATTGAAAAGACAGAGTATTTATGTTCAAACTTCAGTGGGAACCAAAACGATGAAGATGTAGAAGTATGCATAGAAAGACACGTTCTCCCCTCAAAGGATTGTTTTAAGTACCTAGGGTCTATGATACATAAGGATGGGGGTGTAGATGATGACGTTACACACCGTATAAAGGCGGGATGGCTAAATTGGAGGGCAGCTACTGGAGTTTTGTGTGACAAGAAGTTGCCTCAAAAACTTAAGGGAAAATTTTATAGAATGGCAATAAGACCAGCGCTGTTGTATGGATCAGAATATTGGGTAATCAAAGAATGATCACGTAAGGAGGATGAAGGCCGCAGAAATGAGAATGCTTCGATGGGCATGTGGTAAGACTCTATGGGACATGACACCAAACTCTTCTATTAGGATGTCCTTGGGGGTGGTGCATGTATCCGAAAAATTGAGAGAGGGAAGACTACAGTGGTTTGGGCATGTCCTTAGGCGACACCCGTCGGATGCGGTCAGGAGGGTAGAGTCGATTACAGTCGACGGTGCCAAAAGGAGAGGACAACCAAGGCGGAAGTGGGAAGACTGCTTAAGATCTGATTTGAAGGATTTAGCCCTTACCGAGGACATGACCTCTGATAGGAAATTATGGAGACTTAAGACCAGGGTAGTCGATTAGTGCGAGTCACATCCATAGGGTGTAGCATTTCTGTCTTCTTTTAATGTCTTTATAGTAATTCTCATGACTTCTACTTTTTATACATTTCTGTCATTGGAATTAATGAAGGCTTAGAACTAGGGTAGCGGATTAATGTTGCCTTAGTTTAGGTTTTAACCCATTTAACTTTATTAATTCTCGTAGCTTGCTATCGTTCAACTTCTGTGTGTCATTCTCTTCATGTTTCCTCTCTTTAATTTTAGTCGGGTCTTAGGTTTCTGTCTATATGCTGAGATTATTATGCAGGGATTTATTAGCAAGGATTACTTCCCATTATATGACGCGCATATGAAGATTGTATATGAAGACTGTTCAAATATTTATTTACTTATTTATTTATACATGCATTGCATTTTATCTTTATTTTTAATTTTCTGACTGCCGGAGGTCTTCCACGGAAGCTGCTCTTAACCATGCGTTGGGGGCAGCCTACTACTCTACCTCCCCCTTACCCCATTGCATATGGGAATAGGGTTTTGTTGTTGTTGTTGTTGTTATTTACTTTAATCATTTATGATCGAATTATTAGTTTATGATTTAATTTATTCAGTTTTGATAAAAATATTTATGTCATGTTAGAATTTAGAAATGAGATTTACTGTAACCCACGCATTGAGAAAAGTGATGATCGATGTGATAAGTTTATATATGAGAAAATAACCTCAGTGATAAAAAATGCCTTATAATATACGATTTTAACCAATTTTTTTTTGGATTTGCCAAAATGACCAACTAAATCGCAATGCGATCGATAATTCGTAACGCGATCTTCGGTATCGCAAATCAGTTTCCAGATTCGCAACGCGAACATCGACTATCGCAATGCGATTTTCCAAATTCGTTGCGATAGTCCAAGTTCGCGTTGCGATTTATTCCAAATTCGCGTTGCTATAGTCCTAGTTCGTTGCGATAGTTGAAGTTCGCGTTGCGATTTATTCCAAGTTCGTTGCGATAGTCGAAGTTCGTGTTGCGATTTATTCCAAGTTCGTTGCGATAGTCGAAGCTCGCGTTGCTATTTATTCCAAGTTCGTTGCGATAGTCCAAAATCGCAACGACCGGTGGTATTGCATTTGTTTCTTAAGAATTTTCTCTAAAAGATAGTATTCGCGCGGACGTGTCGAAGACATGTACGACCACGACCACGACCCGACCCGACCCGAGACGAGACGGACGGCGGCAGCGGCGGCGCGCGATAGTCCCCCTTATTCTCTATCACCCAACAAGGAAGTGAGAAAGCCAAGCCTTAAATACTATTCCCAATAGTGTTTCCAATACTATGTGGGATTGAGCATTACCAACACTTGTTCCCAATACTATGTGAGATTGAGCCTTAAATAGTGATATTTTTTGTGAATTATAGTTAATGACTTTAATATTTGTATGAAAAGTATTTGTGGTTCGTTTAGTTTTCATGCAATTCTAATTTATTTTCAATTGATTGTAATTGCACGATAACAATTTTTTTTATTCTCACGAGTGATGCAATTTTTTTTGAATGTTTTGCTTAAAATTGCAATAATCGCGATTGATTGTAGATTGACTTTTAATTATGACATATTTAATCTTATAATACTAATGCAATTGGTTGCTGATTCAGTTGTTTTAAAGTGCATGATTGTTAATTGTTTCCTGAATAATCACATAGTATTAGAAACAAGTGTTGGTAATGATCAATCCCACATAGTATTGGAAACACTATTGGGAATGGTATTTAAGGCTTGGCTTTCCCACTTCCTTGTTGAGTGATAGAGAACAAGGGGGACTCTCGCGCGCCGCCGTCGTCCGTCTCGTCTCGTGGTTGTGGTCGTGGTCGTGGTCGTGGTCGTGGTCGTGGTCGTTGTCGTGGTCGTGGTCGTGGTCATACGTGTTTTCGACACGTCCGCGCGAATACTATCTTTTTAGAGAAAATTCTTAAGAAACAAATGCAATACCACCAGTCGTTGAGATTTTGGACTATCGCAACGAACTTGGAATAAATAGAAACGCGAACTTCGACTATCGCAACGAATTTGGAATAAATCGCAACGCGAACTTCGACTATCGCAACGAATTTAGAATAAATCGCAACGCAAACTTCGACTATCGCAACAAATTTGTAATAAATCGCAACGCGAACTTCGACTATCGCAAATCAGTTTCCAGATTCGCAACGCGAACTTCGACTATCGCAACACGAACTTGGACTATCGCAATGCGAATATGTAAATCGCAATGCGATAGTCGAAGTTCGCGTTGCGAATCTGGAAACTGATTTGCGATACCGGAGATCGCGTTGCGAATTATCGATCGCATTGCGATTTAGTTGGTCATTTTGGCAAATCTAAAAAAATTGATTAAAATCGTATATTATAAGGTATTTTTAGTCATTGAGATTATTTTCTCGTTTATATATTTATCTTAAAATGAAAAGTACATTTAATATATAATTTTAGAAAAATCAATTTAAGTTTTTATCCTATTAAAAGATTATGTGTACATTTATTTTTTAACTTTTATTGGAATAATTTTATGTGTAAAATTACAAGGTAAAGTATATAAATGGTCTCCGACTATATGATATTATTTTGTTAAGTCTTTCGACTATTAAAAGTTATAAAATGATTATCTTACTATAAGGAGTAACTTTTTTGAGTCCCTCGATTATTAAAAGTTACAAAATTATCACCCGACTATTCATTTTGTTCTAAACCTGTCCATTTCCGTTAAAAAATCAACAGTTGTTTAAACTAGACGTTAACATATTGATTGAGATATGATAGTCGTTTGAGATTATGAGATCAATTTTTATCATATCTTAGTGAGCATGTTAATGTCTAGCTCAAACTACCGTTATTTTTTACGGAAAAGGATGGGTTTAAAACATAATAAATAATTCGGTGATAATTTTGTAACTTGTAATAGTCGAGAGGCTCAACAAAATAACTCTCTATAGTTGAGAGACCATTTTGTAACTTTTAATAGTCGAGGGAATCAACAAAGAAATATTCAATAGTCAAGGGACCATTTGTGTACTTTACCCTAATTATATATACTGAAATATCAAATGACTTTTATATATAGATATTCTCAATTAAAGTGGTTTGAAATAATGGAACTACTTGATATATATATATATATATGTGTGTGTGTGTGAATTATTGGACCCTTTATTTAGGAAACGAGTGCGTATTCAAGTGGATCAGATGAAAATATTTTAGTCATCGAATTTTATTTATCTTTTAATTTAAACTAAAATTTTTCTGGTTGAATTGAATTACATACATAACAACTCGAATTAGAGAAGAAAACAAACTTAAAAGTTGAGTGATAATGGCATGTCAGTTGTTTGTACCCTGTCTTACACGGGACATGGAAGATTTGGGTGTTCAAACTCGGTGCTCAACATTATTGATCAACTTGCATTGCCCTTTGCAGTAAGGCTTTGAATGGAACATCTCCAACGGCAGTACAACACAGGACTCCTCCCGGAATCGTTTTCAGTTGTCTTGGCTGGATACATGGAATAAAGTTATTCAAATCCGTAGCTCTCCGACGACCTCCGCTGCTGAAACTAAATTATCTGGAAGCAGTTCAGCCATATAACATTAATCAGAAACAATGTGAAAAATATATTTTAATTACACTAACCAATTTCAAAATTAATAACATTGCTTCTCAAAAGCATGTTTACATTATCAACGTTTCTGGAAACAGAACAAACAACAGGAAACAGTTGATCGATTGATATCAAAATTCCAAAGAATATAACTCAAGGCTTGGAAGAAATAAGAATAAGCATCAAAACAGTTAAAACTATAAGTCAAAGGGGCATATGTTTAATTTACCCTTCCGTTGCATCAAAAAGGTTTCAGCTTGTGCAGGAGAAAAATAGTAACAGACAAAGGTATATATTTTGAAAAGAGAGGCCAAAATTACAGGCCATTCGGATTCTGTACTTAATGCGTCTATCTCAGAGGAGTTCTTAACAGCACTGGCGTACATGATAGTCCGGGAAAGCGAATCAGTCAATGTAGAATATTAGATGGTACACAACATTACTAAAAGTCTTGTGAGCCGCGATGCAATGCAAGTCTTTAGAATCAACATATGAAAGGGAAAAATAAGATATGGGGGAAAGCATTAAGAGACTACATGCAACAAACAAACATTGCATTTGTTTATTGCATGCGATATTGATCTTAAAGTCAAGTTGAAGCTTCCCCTTCAAAGCGTACCCTCTTGGGACCTTTCTCTTCACCTTGACTTCCGGTGTTCATCAGTCTGTTTTCCTTGGCTTCCACGGAACACCTTTTGTAAGGTTTAAATCCGGTTCGGCTGGCCTTAAGTTTTGAATGTCCTAGTCCAATCGTCAGCAGGCCCTCTTCTGCAGTGTTTTTCTCGTCTCTTGATAATGCATTTTTCTCAACTTCTTGATGATCAGAACAAGAACCTAATGTCTTGCTGTTGGGGTCTAAAGTTGATGTTTCTCCATCTTTCTCAACTGGATTTTGCTTGTCTTCACCTACATTTTCCTTTTGCTGCCCCTTGTTCTTGCCCTTGTGTGGAGGAGAAAAGCTTTGTGGCAGTACCTCTCTGGAGAAGAGAGCTTGAAAAGCCTGTCGCCCCTGAAATAAGTAGTGGAGCCATAGAGCGTCAATATTACAATACAACTAGAATAATAACTAAGTTAATATATGAAAACAGACGAATCAACTCACCTCCTCAGAGACCCCCTTCCAAGAATCACTCGGGTTGCTACTGCTTCTACTCCGACGGTTACATTCAACTTGTGGATGATTTGCGTCAGCTCCTTTTGATTCTTCTTTGTTTTTTTCATGTTTCTGTAACACATCTGTCTCTACCTCACTACTTGAAGCTGTGTTGGAGCCACATGAGGAGCGGTCAACTTGTTTTTTGTTATTCGTTTTATTTGCATCCTGAGGTTCAGTTACTTTGGCAGCCTTCTCAGCATCGGTAGCTTTAACTCCAGTATTCACTTTTGCATCTCCTCTCTCTTCACAGTCAGATGATGATGAAGTAGGTGATTTAGATGGTGAATGTTGACCTTGCAAAGCTTCGGAGTATTTGGGGTCTAGTTGTTCGTCCTGAATGGAAAGAGCTTGATCAGTTTTATCATTTTGTTCTGTCTTTGCAGTAGGAGCTTGACCATTCTTCATTGGTGGAACTGCAGGTGTGGATGCAGGAGCACAAGTAAAGCCTGGGTGAAGAGGAGCACATACAGGAAGCAGTCCATGGGCAGCCCACCATGCAGTGGCAGCTGCTACAGTTGCAGCAGCAATTGCAGCCATACTTGGAGCAGAGTTCATTTGTCTAGAAGGGAAACTGTCTAGGCCATTTGCAGGAGAATCGCAAGAACTTTCAACATTTGCATAAGGCCAAAATGTAGCCGCAAAGCTTGCAGCAGCATGAGCAGCAGGATTCTGTAACAAAGTAGATACAATGAGACTGGAAAAACTGGAGGAGACATGTAGAAATGATCGATAGTCCTCTTGATTGGGGCGAAGATGCATGAAGGGAGTATGAAAAGGTGGTGAATCCTGATGAATAGTTCTTGGGGCATTATTCTGCTGTTCGGTAGTTGCAGATGCAGCTGGATTTGTAAACAGGTTAGGTCCACGAACATCACCCATAGGGTTAAATACAGAATCCTGAAATGAAATATCCAGGGTAGGATTTTGAGCACATGTTTTCAAGCTTCCATCTAGTACATGGACAGCAACATGTCGAGGATAATTTTGACTCGCTTGCATCTTATTTGAACATAGTACACCATCCAAACCATCTTTTCTCTGGCCTTGAGATGGTCTCTGATATGAAGTGCATGAATTCTCCAAGTTTGAAGTCTTACTTGTACCATTATCATGAATAGTCTGTTGAACATTAAGTTTATAAGATTCATAAATTTCTATAAGTTCAAGAATGATACATAATTCATGTTTATAATAACTTATTACCTCTTTTAGCGAAGGTATGAACTCCCTAATCGTGCAAGAGTTTATGTGTGCTGCTGATGTTGGTATAAAATTCTTATTCATGGAAGACACAGAGGAGCAGTTTGCTTCATGGGGACAGGTGAAGACCTCAGGGCAACTCTCGTCTTGGTTTTCTTTCAGATTTGAAGCCTTTTCATCTCCATTAAGTCTCTGGCAAACAAGATATATCTGAAGCTTAGGAAAAAATAAAAAAAAGAACACAATTAAGGGCATGAATAAAGTAGGTGAGGAGGAGAAATTAACCTCTGGAAGTGGTTCTTTCTCCAGGTCCAACACTTGCTTGCAACGCAAAGAAAATATCTCCATTTCGGATTTTCCATCCTTAGCTCCCTTCTGTATTGTGTTAGCAACACCCGTTTTTCGAGGATAAGGATTGCTTGGTTTTCTTTTAGGGCGTGGAGGTGGAATTTGTATGTCAAGAGCTTGACTTATTGGTACACCTTTAGCAAGTGCCTCCTTCTCCAGCTGAGGATATCGTCAGTAGTATCAATAAAATGAAAATCACAGACGAATAGAAATGTTACTAGTTACTGAAGGCACCGATGAGGAGTTAACATAACATTAACAATGTGTGAGATTATTACATATGGTAGGAATTACATAGCTCAACGCAGCATAATAGTAATATCTAACCACAATAATGCCAAATATTATCAGGAAACAAGAAGTCAAAGTATATAATTGCTCTACCATCTACTTATATCTCACTTAGGAGGTTCAGTAGGAAGGACCTGTTTTATAACATTTGACCGTAGCAGGCATACACCCTGGCCAAAGTTGAACATATACATACACAAGGATTGACTAAATGAAAAAAGGGGGCTGGTTTAGCCAAGCAATTGGTTCTGCTTGGCTAAACCAACCCCCATTTTACTAGGAGAAAGCTTTTAAATGTATTTATAGAGTGGGAGAGAGGATTAGTCTATTTAGATGGAAAGAAAATTACCATTGGTTTCTTAAGAATCACAGTTTATGTTCTGCATAAATAAGTTTAATATTTCATAACGCCAGCTTATCTGTATAATGAGAATCGAACTATCTATTATGTTCTTTGTTATGTAAAATTGAGATAATTAATGGTTAGGACTTCAGATTGAAGAAAGTATTTTACAAAGCTTTAACCATAATAATCTTGAACAATCTTTGTTTGCTTACCCTCCTGATAAGATTCGTCAATCATGAGCTAATCAAGAGAAAAATGTTCTGAATGAACGCGTTTATTTGTGATATCAGAAATTTGAAAGAGTAAAACAAAGGAAGAAGAAATGCATTACCATGTACCTAATTTTCACATAATTGGCAGGGGAATGCCAATAACCTGCAGGAAATAGGTCTTTAAGAAAAGAATCCTGGAAAATTCTACGAGTGATTCCTATTACTGGAGATGCATACCACATTCACTAAAAAAAGGATAATCTCTTGAGATGAATCTATGGGATGCATACCTCACGCCTAACATCATAATCAGCTACAAGGCATATCTAACAGACATGCCACTCCTAAGCTTGGCTGCAAAACTTAAGGTACTATCAGGAAGAATGATCCCGGTATTATCACCTAGTAGGTATAATCTTTCTGATGAAAAGAAAAATATGCAGATAAGATTTTTTTTGTTCCACATTACCAAGAAAGAAACTAGTTCAGTGTCATAAATGACAGATCTTTATAGATGTATGATCCTCAACCATAAATGAGTAGCCTATCATGCATTTCAAACTCTACCAGTTCCCAGTAATGGAAGAAAAAATAAACTTCATATTTTAGATCTAACTAGTCTCCAGTTCAAAATCGGTAATATTGCTAATGTTAAACGATATTTTACACCATTAATCTAAACACATCAACTCACCCCAGTATTCAACAAATTATATATCCTTCACCCTAAAAAATTTGTCATTCCTGCTAGCATTAACTACTACTCAATGCACTCCACTGTGGCTTTAAATAAGATCATTTGCACGAAAAAATCAAAATCTACAAAAAGCTGCAGTAGATTAACTACAAAATTACAACATGATGTTCAAAAGCGACCAATCAAGTGGATGCCTTGTGCATAAAAAGATGGTGAAATACATACTAGAAAGAAAGTAACCATTTTTAACAACTTAAAATATTAAAAATGTCCTTTTTCCCAGACAGATCAGACTCCAAGGATAATAAGCCTTCTTGCAGCCAATCTCTTACAGAAACCGAATAAATAGAATTCAAATAGCTGACATCTCCAAAACCAAATTTGTAGAGATGCTAAAAGCTCTCGTCCTAAATATGGTTTACATAAATTAGTATTAGCAGCTCAGATTCTCATTTAACTCAAGTTTGTGTCTTTCCTAGATACTAATAAATGAACTCCTGTGTGCTTCTTCACATAATCGGTTATAATTTTGATCATTGAGTGATATACAATCGATGTTTTTGGAACAGATAGCAATGAAATCTCTTCATATATTAGGTATTAACTCTTTCTCCTCAATCTGTTCATTGAATGTGAGTAAACCTCTTATCTTGTCTTTGCTGTTTTAGAAAAAAATGCTTTCAAGAGAGTGCAGTTGACGAATCAATATTTCATATATTTAAAATATTTCAAGCAGAAGCAAGATTTAGGCAGCAGAAAAATACATTGAACATGGGCATAAGTGTAAACAAGAAGGCACCGAATGACCTTTGAAAAGAACTTTTGAGCATGACTCCTGATCTGCACAGCAGTCTTTGTTCCTATGTGTTCTGCAAATAACCATGTAAACAGAGAAGGGAAAAAGATCCCCAATTATGACAGTGAATAACAAAGGCGTTTCATTTGTCAGTCCCGACAGACATATCCAGCAAATCTTAATCTGAATCCACAATAATGGTTCTAAAACTTCAGCAGCAATGGAAATATTACTGTTTTTTTCAACCCCACCACCCAAAAGAAATCGAAACTAAGAGGAACAAGCAAGTGAAAACCTTCAATGCGTTGCCAAGCTCGTCCATAGAGCTTCAAGGCCTCTAGGAACCTATTATGCTCCTCCTCAGTCCATCTTTCCCGTTGTTTAGTAATAGTATAAGGTTTCCTAGTCTATCATTCGACATAAAAGTTCAATACAAAAACTACATTTTTATAATTCCAATGAGCATAATTCAAAAGCAAAAATAAGAAAGAGAGTTCACTTTGATAATTAATACCTTAATAACGAGTTCTTCTCCAGATGAATATGTGTCCATTGACAGGACCTCGGCAGCGTCAACGCCGCTTCAAATCCTCTCTAACGAGCAACGGGTAAAACACAAACCTCCTTTCATTTCTTTCGAATACTACAAATAGTAAAGCCGTTTTTGAACACCACAAAACCTGATGACTGCTATTTACTACTGCAAAAATACCAAAACCAAAAACAACAATCGGTAGAGATCCGTCTCTGATTTCTATTGCTATTCCAATTAATATTACTTTCTGAAGTATTTTATTTAATCACAAAAGTGACGTTTGGGTGAAAATTAAAATATTAAAAGTTAAAAATAAAATGTAAGTATCCACCGTAACAGAGAGAAGAGACGGATTCTTCCAATGAACTAAAAAAGAAAATTCCGTTATTCAGAATCCTCACCAAAACGAACCCGTGGACGCCAAAACCTTTCGAGAAATGAAAGAGGAAGACTTTAATCAGCAAACTCAATACTTTCCTTTATTATTAACACCCAAAGAAATAAAATTTACCTTTTTTCTGTTGAAAAGAAAATAGAAAAAAGAATTCAATCCCTTGTCTGTCGTCTCTCTACTCACCTGCGTATAAAGAACATAAGTTTAAACTTAGCGGAGCAGAGTTTCGAAGAGCAACAAAGCGGAGAGTAAAGAAGGAAAGCCCTAGAAATGCGGTGGAAAATGGAAAGACCTTGAGATATAGCCATGGAGGATGAGAACACTGGAACGATCACGCATGAAAAATGGGTTCACCGGAAACTCGTCGGAGACCTCATGTTTCCGGCAATGAGAAGATCGGAATAAGCAGGATTTGGAAAAAAAATAGTGTTTCTATTTTGGGTGAAGATAAGTCGAAGAAAGCAAAGCAAACAAGAAGGGAAAGGAGGCTTATTTCTTTTGGTGGGAACTAAAGCACCAGAAAACTACAGTTTGGTGAAGAAGCAAAGAGAAATCTCAACCACTACAATTTCATGTGGATTTATTTTTCTGGAAAATTAACAAAATTTGGGGAGTTTAATTTAAGGCCGAAAAATAGTGAACGGTGGTATACAGAATGGAGAGATGCATTGGATGTTGCCAAGTGGCAGTAATTTAGTGGCTGATTCAAGTAAACCCCACCCTTGCACTTTTTCCCTTATTTTTATATATATATTTTTTGTCTTTTGGCTATTGGTCTGTTTGCTCCCCGTTTCCCTGCTTCCATCTTCACATCTCAGCCACAAGTTCGCTTCCCCTTGAGGTTAAGTCCGTAAAAGTGCCATCCGCTATGCCACGTGGATCAGCCAGGCAAATGCTTGCAATAAGTGGAATGGTTAACCGGTGCGTGGCGGTTTAAGGGTAGATATGGAGCCAAAACGACGACGGATTTTTGACCTTTTAAGCTTGATCTCCGGTAATGATTTCAGCAACGAATCCAAGGACACGCTATGTTCCCTTACCTTCCATCTTTTATTTTCCTTTTTGAGGCGACTCCATGGTACATAATTTTTAGGTCAAATTTTATCATCAGTCCATGTACTATGCATATATTGTGGATTTCATTCTTGTACTTTAATTTAGTCCCTATACTTTCGAAAATTAAAATTTCAATTTTGAATTAAGATGCTGTACATGAATAATATGACTAAATTATAAATACTTTAAATGATAAAATTGGATAATAAAAGTTAGTTCCACAATATCGACTAATAATTTAACATATACTGTTTGTGTTGGGATTAAAATCTTAAAATTTGAAAAGGTATAAGAATTTAAAGAAAATACTAAATCAATCAGCTAATGAATATATAGTTTAGACAGAGATAATTACAATAGAGTTATACTTTAGAATTAATAACACGTGATTGTAATTATTAGAATAATAGTTTTATTTTCATACAATTATGCAGTTAAAAATAAGCATATATGTTAAGGCTTCGGAGCAATAAAATAAGCAGTTAAAAGGACTGTAAATCAATGGGGTGATCTGTTTTCGTTGCATCAAAAAGGTTTCAGCTTTAGCTTTATGCAGGAATAAGGTCAACAAGCAACAGCATGAAGAATGATAATAAAGAGAAATACATGCAAGTCCATTCAGATTCAGTACTTAATGGGTCTATCTCAGAGGAGATTTTAATTGCAGTGACATACCATAAAAGTCCAGGAAAGCAAGTCATTGTGGATATTAGATAGTACACAACACAACCTACACGAAGAAGTCTCGTGAGCTGCAATCCGATGTAGTCTTTAAAATCAATATATGAAACGGAGAATAAGATATGGGGAAAAGCATTAGAGATTGCATGCAACAAACAGATGTTGCATTTGCTAATTGCATGCGGTATAGTGCGTTACGTCAAGTTGAAGCTTCCCCTTCCAAGCGCACCCTCTTGGGACCTTTCTCTTCACCTTGACCGCTGGTGTTCATCACTCTGTTTTCCTTGGCTTCCACAGAACACCTTTTGTAAGGTTTAAATCCGGTTTGCCCAGCCTTAACTTCTGAAATTCCTAGTCCAATCCTCAACAGGCCGTCTTCTGCAGTGTTCTTCTCATCTCTTGATAATGCAGTTTTTTCGACTTCTTGATGGTCAGAACAAGAACCCAACGCCTTGCTGTTGAGATCTAAAGTTGATGTTTCTTCATCTTCCTTATGCTGCTCCTTGTTCTTGCCTTCGTGTGGAGGAGAAAAGCTTTGTGGCAGCACCTCTCTGGAGAAGAGGGCTTGAAAAGCCAGTCGCCCCTGAAATGTCGGCAATGCTACAATAAAATTACAATGATAGTTAAGTTAAAGCTCTATGGGACAATAAGACACATCAACTCACCTCTTCAGATACCTCCTTCCAAGAATCACTCAGATTGCTACTGCTTCTAGTACGACGGTTACATTCAACTTGTGGATGATTAACGTCAGCTCTTTTTGGATCTTCATTGTCTTTATGTTTTTCTAACACATCTGTCTCTACCTCACTACTTGAAGGTGTGTTGGAGCCACAAGAGGAGCGGTCAACTTGTTTTCTGTTCTTTGATTTATTTGCATCCTGCAGTTCAATTACTCCGGCAGCCTTCTCATCATCGGCAGCTTTCACTCCAGTATTCACTTTTAAATCTCTTCTCTCTTCACAGTCAGATGATGATGAAGTAGGTGATTTAGATTCTGAATGCTGACCTTGCAAAGCTTCAGAGTATTCAGGGTCTGGTTGTCCGTTCTGCATGGCTGGAGCTTGATCAGTTTTATCTTTTTGTTTTATCTTTGCAGCTGGAGCTTGATCATTCTCCATTGGTGGAACTGGAGCAGTGGATGCAGGGGCACAGGTAAAGCCTGGGTGAAGAGGAGCACAAACAGGAAGCAGTCCATGGGCAGCCCACCATGCAGTAGCAGCTGCTACAGTTGCAGCCGCAATTGCAGCCATACTTGGAGTAGAGTTTATTTGTCTAGATGGGAAACCGCGCAGGCCACTTGTGGGAGTATTGCCAGAACTTTCAACATTTGCATATGGCCAAAATGTAGCTGCAAAGCTTGCTGCAGCATGAGCAGCAGGATTCTGTAACAAAGTAGATACAATGAGACTATAGAAAGTGGAGGAGGCATGTAGAAATGATCGACAGTCCTCTTGATTGGGGCGAAGATGCATAAAGGGACTATAAAAAGGTGGCAAAGCCTGTTGAATAGATCTTGAGGCATTATTCTGATGTTCGGTAGTTGCAGATGCAGCTGGATTTGCAAAAACGTTAGGTCCATGAACATTGCCCATTGGGTGAATTACAGAATCCTGAAATGACATATTCAGGGAAGGATTTTGAGAACATGTTTTCAGGCTTCCATCTAGTGCATGCACAAATATGTTGAGGATAATTTTGACTGCCTTGCATCTCATCAGCACAAAAGCACCATCTATATCATCTTTTCTCTGGCCTTGAGCTGATTTCTCAAATGAAGTGCAAGAATTATCCAAGTTTGAGGCCTTACTTGTACCATTATCATGAATTTTCTGTTGGACATTAAGTTTATAAGCTTTATAAATTTCAAGTTCAAGAGCAACATAAAATTCATGTTTATCGTGATTTATTACCTCTTTTAGCGAAGGTACAAACTCCCTAAATGTGCAAGAGTTTATGAGTGCTGCTGATGTTGGTATGAAATTCTTATTCATGGAAGAAGCAGGGGAGCAATTTGCTCCATGGAGAAGGGTAAAGACCTCAGAGCAACTCTCATCTTGGTTTTCTTTCAGATTTGTTGCCTTTTCATCTCCGTTAGGCCTCTGACAAACAAGATATATTTGAAGCTTAGGTAAAAATTTTAAAAAAATTATTATGGGCCTGAATAAAGTAGTTGAGAAGGAGAAATTAACCTCTGAAAGTGGTTCTTTCTCCAAGTCCAACACTTGCTTGCAATGAAAAGAAGATATTGGCGTCTCAGATTTTCCATCCTTAGCTCCCTCCTGTACTGTGGTAGCAGCACCCGCTTTTCGAGGATAAGGATTGCTTGGTTTTCTTTTAGGGCGTGGAGGTGGAATTTCTATGTCAAGAGCTTGACCTATTGGTACACCTTTAGCAACTGCCTCCTTCTCCAACTGAGAATGGAATAAAATCAGTAGTATTGATCAAATGAAAATACAGAAAGGAAATGCTATTAGTTACTAAAGGTGCCAATGAAGCATCAAGATAATGTTTACCGGGTGACACATATGATAGAAATGGCATAACTTGATGCAAAATGATAACATCTAACCAGAATAATACCAATGTTATCAGGAAACAAGTCCAAGTATATAATCGTTCTAACATACAAATATCTCACACCAGAGGTTCATAAAAATTGTATACTCCTACTGTTGATTATTAAGGACTGTTTTATGATATTTGATTAGATTTATCTGCTTCTCATCAAATAATTAAAACCTATCAACCAAATTTGTACAACATTTTTTACCCATCATTCAGAAAGTATATACACAATTGTGTCCTTCAAAGAGTTATCTAGATTTTTTTTCTTGGGATTACTTTAATCTATCATGTGTCAGCTCAAGATTCATATGCAGTAAAACAATTGACCATAGCAGACATACACACAGGACAAAGTTGAATGTATACATACAAAAAGATTAATTAAATAAAAAAAAGGGGGCTGGTCTAGCCAAGCAGCGCACTGACTGCTTGGCTAAACCAGCCCCCATTTCACTAGAACTTGAAATTTAATATTTGGATGGAAAGAAAATTACCAGTGGTTTCTTAAGATCATAGTTTATTTCTGCATAAATAAGTTTAGTATTTCATAATGCCAACTTATTCATACAATGTGCATGTTGTTCTTTGTCATGTAAAATTTCATTAAT